TCATCCTGTGGCATGAACTTTCCCATTGCGAGCTGGGTGTTCTGCCTCATTGGTACTGTGACGGTGAAGCTCAGTCAAGGTGTCCTCGTTGGACTAAGGCTATGATCATCCTATGAGCGGGAGCCCGCCTTTTTGTTTTAGATTAGGATGTTATGTTCGTACCTAAACACGCTTACATAGCTGGATGCACCTGGTTTCCTGTCAAATTGAGCAGGTTGGCTGTTAGGCCCAGACGTTGTAATTTCGGTACTTAATTATAGTAATGATTTAGCTTCTCTATGTTCCATGGTCGAGCAAGTTGTTCCTCGGTCAAGTTGTCAAGGAAATAGGCCCTTCCCCCTGTTTTTGCTCAGACGTGGTAGGGGCCTTCCCAGTTCACAGCGAGTTTTCCCTCGCGCGAGTTTTTTTTATTTCTCTGTAGGACTAGGCTGTCGACCTGGAACTCACGTTTTATGACTTTGGTGTCATGATGCAGTTATCCTTTACTTTAAAGTGGCCACGCGGAGAGCTACTAATGCTCAAATTTCTTCGACCGGGTCGAGTTCCTCTCCCAAGTCCTCGTCGTTCATCTCCTCGTCGAGGGGAGACTCAGTTCTCCTGGACAACTCTCTGATTTCCACTAGGATCACCGCCTCGGTTCTGTAGACTAGTTGGAAAGAAGTTTCCCATGTGGTTGAGTATGGTGTCATTCTGTAGGCCCAGAGTACCCTGTGTAGCTCCTCGATCCACCTATTCTTGGTCGCACCCAGCCGTCGTTTCAATCCTCGCAGGATTATTCTGTTTGCGGCCTTATCTTACCCATTTATTTAAGGGTGCTTGACAGATGTTAAGTGTTGCTTAGTACTGAGTTTGGTAACGAAATCATGGAATTTTCTATCGGTGAAATGTGCCCCGTTGTTTTGTTATAGAAAGGAGTCAAACCGAGGTTCTCTATCGCGTGTTGGTTTTCGTGGTCGACCTTTTAGCCTCTTTTGCTGCTCGCCGGCTTTTTTTCTTAGAAATAGGGGTTTGTCATTCTCTGTGCGACAGAGTGCGATCGTGCTTCTTGACGACTACAGGTTGTGATATTTATAATCGAGGACCTTGTTTGGTTTGCCGAGGAGATTGGCTCTAAGATTCATCTTGTGTGTCTCTCTGCGGGGGAGAATACGAACGAGCATCTCGTCGTCGTGGGGACGGGTTACGAGATTAAAATTTTCGAGGTATTCTCATGGGGAAGCGTGATCCTCGGTCCTTTCAAACACTCAAATGCGCTTGTTTTGTTGGAATATCAGGTAGTTCGTCTGGTTGAGCACCGCGAACAAGGCCACTATGGTGGAATCAACATTGGGTGGCACAGGGATTTCCTGATACGTTCTAGGCTCATCAATATGTCGAGGGGCGTCGAGGGGGTGCTCTCGGGATGAAGAGGAGGTGGTCTCTCTGTCTCGGTGGTCACCTAGATCGTGACCAATCGTCTCATTGTTGTTGAGGTTGCCACCATTGGCGAAGGCGGGGTGAACAGTCTTATCGCCGTTGCTGTTGTTGTATTGGATGGCTATGATGATTGATAGGTGTTGATGAGCTTGATTTGGTCCTTAGGTTTAGAAAAAGACGGGGAAGCAAGAGTTTCTCATAGACGACGCCACTGATCTTATCGGGATCAGAAGGATCTTCAGTGGCCTGTAACACTTGGACTTATGCCGTTTTTGAAGTGAATGAGGGCGTGTATCTGCAAGGTACTCCGATGTCAAAGTAAGGTTAAGAGTAAACAAAGGCAAGTACAGAGTGTACGTGAGTAGAATTCAGTACCTGACCCTATAGTGAAATAGGGTATTTATAGCCCCAAGCGATGGACCAATATCCCCATTTGGGCTGGATTCTTAACCCAAAGAGGGGACTGCCAAGATCCTACGTGGATAGAGGAGACCAACATGTGGTTTCTATCCTGGTCAACTGTCACGTGATCTTCGGAGATAGAAGAATCATTCTTTATAGGGACAGAATGACTCTGTAACATTCAGAAAGTCGTTGGCTACGTGTCCTTGACATGTATATGGGGAAGACGTCATCGACGGGAATGGGGAAGAGACGTTCCTCAACAGTCACAACTATCTGGGCCACTTTGTCGGGCCTTCCTCGCAGCAGCGTTGGGCTGGTCCTGCCCGACGGAGGATGAAGTGCAGGTCCTGTCCACAATAGGTTGTTGGGCCTTCCTCGCTGCAGAGTTGGGTTGGGCCTTGCTTGACGACATACCAAGTGCATGCCCAGTCCAGAACACACGTTAATAGCATATAACGACAAAATGCTTATAAATGTGACAAAGTCTACCAATATAACAAAATTGAAATACTCTAAATACCATGTCTCTGAGTCAGCAACGTTGACAACGTCAAAGTCGTTGATTGAATATGCATTTAGTCAAAATTAGTTTATCAATCTAAACCGAACAAACACCACACTAAGACGAAAAAACAAAATAACATCACAATAAGATGACGATCAACACAACGTCGCACTAAGACGACTAAATCACGGAGAGAAAAATAAAAATAAACGTGAAATCACTTAATTTGAATAAAAAGAAAAAGGTATTTAGAGAGGGTGATTTTAGATAAAAATTGATCCTAAAATCATCCTTCTTCAATGGATGAAGAAAAAAAACTAAAGTTGAAAAAAGAAAGGAGGCAGTCGGAGAATAATTATAACTTGATTATGTCTTAAAAAAATATGAATTATAAAAGTTAGAACTCCGTCAATGTAGTTTCTTAGAGAAAATGAAGAAGTGATCGACAAGTTTAAAGGGGTGATTCTCCTCATTACTCAGTTGTTCTGGTTGGAAATTTGAAATTGGTGTTAGAAATCATCTTAAAGAATCAAAGTGAAGAAGAATTGAAGGAGTTGTTTTCAATTAAAAATAACTCTAGTAAAACTACTTTGTATATTACTGCTGAAAATGGTCATCTTAATATAGTGAAGGAATTGATCAAATATCATGATACTCTGTTATTTTTCAAAACCAAAATAGAAGCGAAGCAAGCACATAAATATCTTGTATTTTTATTTTCATTTTTTTGGAAAAAGTCAAGGGAATTTAATAATTAATAGTATTAATTAAAAAGTAATAATTTTTATAACTGAAATGCCAAAAGTCAAAAATGCGACTTTGGTGTTTTTGAATTGACGGTAGACAAAATTGATTTTGAGATAATTAAATTTAATAGAATTAATTTTAATAAAATTGATTTATATTTGAATATAATAATATAGAAGTGATTGTTATCATTAATGTTGTTTGGATAGTTTCATCAAAATTAATTTTAAATAATATAACTATTAAAATGGTAATAAATTTTTATACAAATAAAAAAGAAAAGAAGTAATTGATGAAAATTAAAGAGGATAAAGAAGAAAAATAAAAAGAATTGTAATAAAATAATATATAATAAATGTTGAATTGATTATTCTAAACTCAAATGTTAGAAATTGTAATTTCTATTAGAATTGTTTTTGGAGGAGTAAAATTAATTTTGAAAAAATATCTTAACAAAAAATAAAACCAATTTTTAAATTGAAGTAGATTAGAAGTGCTTTTGAGACTCGTAGAAATTAATCCAATCATACACATAATCTATGTTAATCTTAGATCAAATCTTATATTATTTTAAGAGCCATGATAACAAATGTAATAAGAAAATTGGTTTGAAAACTCATAGAATAAATTGTATTGAAAAAACAAATATAATGTAAATTGACACTGAATTTTGACACTACAACGTAAAAAATACAGTGTTTTAGCTTTATTTAATATTTATTGGTGTCTTGAAATATGTGCATGTAGATAATTTGTATACAATACACACATTATGTGCTATGGTGTAGGATACATGTGTAAGATTTGGTGTCATTATAACATTGCTCTTATAGAAATTCATTTAGGCTTAGGTTAGGCTTATGACTATTTTTTTATAAGATTAGATTTAGGTCTTCTAAAGCATAGATCAGTCCAATTTATTTTCGGACCTATTTTGTTAAGAGCCGTATTGATTTCCCAAGGATCCTTTCCCTAGTAACCCATACAAAAAAAAAATTGTTAAAGAAGTTCTATGGTTTATTAAGATGCAACGACTTAATACAAAGTGAAAAAATAATAAAGATGTTATAAATGTATTTCCTTTAGAAGTATTCGAGTCACACTATTTACTTGTTATCTAAGATACTAGAGTTAAGAAAAGAGGACAGAATATAAGAGATCGTCACTATTAATTATCCCAAAGTATGAGATATAAAATTTAGGGTGACAGAGCACTCCGCTCTTTCAAAACCAACTTAAAAAATACAGTTAGAACAAGTATAGTTTCATCATAAAATGAATGAAAAACCTTCAAAATTCCCTAGGACAATCCACAAAGTACGCAAAGCGGCAACACAACTCACACCCTTGATTTTAAGTGGGTTCTTCTTGTAAGAGAATTATGACAAGCACACTGCAAAAACATCATAACATCCACATCATTTGCTTTCACTGAATAAGAAGCCGCAACCTCAAGATACATAATTTGTTTAGCTAACATGAACTAAACTCCATTCACCTTATTGTGAACCAGAATTGCACTCTGAATTGGTGCTAGAGTTGCTGTTAATTAAACATAAAGTATAAACATAGTTCACTTAACCAACAACACGGATATGCTAATCACATTTTCATATATGAATGTAATAAACTATTTAAAATATGGACTTTAGTTCAGAAATTTGACCCATGTTTCACCCAACCTAGACCTCCACAAGAAGTTGCTGAATTCATCGAAACACCCCTCAAACCGACAAATGCAACGAGTCTGTGACTATAAAACTATACTAATTACCAGTAAAAAGAGGCAATAAAAGGTAATTATATGAATTGATTGCCATCGCCAATGACCAAATTTCCAAAATTATTTGTCAGCGGAGAAGAATCCTTATTCAGATGTGGGCTGTTTCCAAGAGCACGAAATTCAACTCAGGGCTCCCTTGACAAATCAATCATCAATCCAATCGCCATAAATATGGGTAATCTTGTTTAACTTCTTCCAAAGTAATTCCTTCTTGGCCTTCTTCTCCTCTTCCGTCGCTGCAGGTCCATTTGCTGGTAAGGTAGTAGGTGCATAATTGGCAGAAGAACTTGTTGTTGGTAAAGTTGGAATAACAACTTTTGTTGAATTTGTTATGGCAACTGCAACTTCAACTTCAATGCTTCCACCGGGAACTGGTAACTCTGAATAACAAAACAACCGGTACTTAATGAGTCAGAAGAAGATACAAGGATAATCAATCATCTTTTGATTTTTATTCACAGAATGCATATACAAGTTATTACACGAAAAACTGATAAGATATAATAAAAAATGTCTATGACCACGATTGTGGCGAAGACGTTAAGGTTTTTGATGTTTCCACCAACATCACAATTGCAACTGCGTTGACCATATTTAACTGCAATATTTAGGATTGCAACATAGCTGCATTTAAAAACTTGCAAAAGAGCAATGTACTGACTCAAAATTATTGATGAGTCGGACATCAAATTTATAGACAACTATCATCAGAAACCAAATTTATAGGCAACTATCATCAGAAACCAAAAGGAGAAGCAGGCTTGGAAAAGAAGAATATAATATAACTGTCGGTTATTTAGATCAGAATTGCATGCAAAGGCCACGTCTCAATCATTTATGACATTATTGATAGATAAAAGCAGTCGAGTAGTTCTAGTCCCGTGATCCTACTGCATAGCAAAATTCGCTATTTAACTACCCTGATATGCAAGCCTTAGATAAAGCAGTGCTATCAATAGCAGATGGCAGGTTGCAGCAACCAGCCAAAAATTAGCCATATAAACATGGTTTCGTGCCCTATGGCGGTGGCACGAAACCCCTCGCGCCATAGCGCCACAATGACGGAAATTTGACGACATGGCAAAAAAAAAAGTAACCACTAATCATACAGATAAGTGTCCATTACTTGTAAACTAAAGCAGCATCTGTTGTATAATCAAAATACCAAATGATCAGCTAGAACCAGGTTTTCCTATAAGCAAAGGTGTAATGGGGTTCCATTTAATATGATCAACTACTTAAGGAAGACACTTTTTGTGGAGACAAGGAAAAGGAGCAACAAGTAGGAGGGTCAAGTTTATGCCACAAACCAAACACTGTAATTTTTACATCAGATCACAGAAAATGTGCTTCTACATACCATCACGAAAATAAAAAATAAAAACAGATTTATATAATTGAACAAAACAAATCAGTGGGATTATTATATGATAAAAAACAAAATGAATGTTATTACCTGCATCTCCATGAGCAAAGTGACATTTATCACCAAAGGGGCAGATCCCGGTATTGATCCACTTGAGACATATCTTAGTATTCCAATTAGTTCCCCTGGCTGGCTTAGTCCCAGCCCTATTGCCTTCCAAATGATTAGAAGTTCCAATGGTGATGGCAGAGCTGATGTCAGAGGACTCTCTTGTATTCCAAGAGTCGTCCCTAAACTTAGCAGGATCCTGATGAAGAAAGTTACAGTTATCCCCATAAGGACATTCCTGACCATTGTAATACCTCTTGCAGAGCTTCATCTTGTGAATGATTTTCTGATCATCATTCGAATTCCCTTCCTGGGTATGGAGACCTACGAGCTCCTGCCAGTTTGGTGGTGGCTGCCTTATCTCATGAGCCCCATGAGCAAAGGTACAATTTTCACCGTTTCTACAGGTACCGAACCCAAACCTAGTACAAATACGGGTCTTGAAGAAAATGTTGGCTGTTGGTCTGTTTGGTGGAGGGCCCATCACTGTATTGGAATGGTTGTTGTCAGACATTCTTGGCCTTTTGAAGGAATGGGAACGAGCCAATGCTGAATGTGGTTCAAAGCGTTGATCGTGTTTAAAGGGTTGATTGTGTTCAGAGGGTTGGTTGGTCATGGGGAATTGAGGGCTCACCTGAATGATATCGCTGGTGGTGGATGATGAGAATTGCGGTGGTGGCATCTTAAACGTTGGAATGTTATTTGAATAAGGCATGGTTGGCTATTAATAAAATAGAGTTTTTGATTTGATTATCGTTGATGAATGAGATCAAGGTTCAGAGAACTTGTATGAAGAACGAAATAGTGGCATGCAATGTTGATGAAATAATGAAAAACAAGAAACAATATAGAGAGAAAATATAATGGGATGATCAGGGTTTGGTGAATGAAATACAAATATATATTAGGGTGCAGTTTGAGGGTTTAAGATATTTTGTTGCGTTAATATCGTCAAAACCCTAGTTGCTGCCACAGTTCTAATGGACTAATCAGTAATTAAGTAATTATTTATGTTTAATTAAGTTTAAAATAATAATTAGTTAATTGGTATGAGAAGATAAGAAAGTTACAGTTCCATTGGTTTGAAATGGATGAGCACCAATACCATGAGAGTTGGGAACTCCACGAAATGCAATTGGACGTCGGTGTTGGTACCCAATTGAGGTAACTTAGCACAAACATGGATTGCCCCATCAAACGGCGTTGTCCATAAACGACTCTCCTCCATATCCTCCTGATTCTAGTAATGGTTGAATATTTGAGATTTGGGGGTTACTTACTATTTATTGTGCCGATGGTAGAGGTGAACTTACTGATGGTTTATTCTACTCAATCACAGATTCATTATGCCTGTGATTCAATATGAGTGATCTATGGAAAAAGCCATGATAGCAATTTTGAAAGACAAGCTTTCTGCACCAACCCAAACAAACACACATGACAAAGAAATGTGCTCTTTTTCACAAACATGATATGCAAGTCTTATGTAAATAAAAATATATGTAAGACAAAAAAAGGTATATAAATGATTATAATAAATCTATATTTTTATTTATAATTTGTGTAGGTTATAGAATTAGTTAACACTATAAGACTCTAACATGTAGGACTGTTCAAATTTAAACTAATCTAAATAAAAAATCAAAAATCGATCTAAAAAATCGAAAACAGTAAAAAAAAAATTTATTGAATGTGTTTGAATGTCATTTTGTGAAAATCGATCGGTTCGGGTCAAATTTCAGATTAATTTTTCAAAACCGATCCAAACCAAACTGCATACATATATTTTTATACTTATTTATTTTTTATTAGTATGATATGTTACGTGAATTTATTATTAGATTATAATAATTTTTTAATAATAGTTATTAGCTTGGTATAATTATTTATTTTTATTATTTCAATCATTATCAACCACTCTCATTTTATAATATTAACTTTTAATATACTATATATTATATATTATATCAAATCTATGATTTATTAGTAGTTTTATAATATTAATAAAAATATAATGTGTAATTTAGATATTCAAAAACTGATCCAAATTAAACCGCATAAAATTGGATCGAATCAGATTGGATTTTTTAATATATCATCCAAAACCGAACCGAACCGCAAGTAAATTTATCTTTGGATCGGATAATTTTTTATCTTAAAACCAATCCAAACCGAACCGCGAACACCCCGACTAACATGTATTGTTATTGTCTATTAGGAAGCGGATGTGTGAAAGATGAAGCGGTGGAATTTAGTCTTGCATTGATGGAACAATATTTTCGATGGGATGTCATTAGCATCGGGAAGAAATACAATAAATGTTCTTTTCTTAATTGACAATATCTTATAGAGAAGTCTTGACATATGTCCATATATCGAATGATAATTGTTGCACCTCAAAATTTACTCTCTTGATTTAGGCTTATGTTTCATCATAATCATCATATTGCATTGCATTCATTTCTTTGTGATGTGATCAAGGTGTTTTGGTTATCAAGTTCTCCTCAAGCTGTGGAAGTTAATTATATTGACAAGTTGTTCAAGAAGAGCCTCATTACCTCAATCACTGGATATTTCAAGTCCTATTGATCTCTCATGGCCCAGAATATCTCATTTGTCTCATTGGTTTATCAAGAGTTGAAGTTATGCAAAGTTTTGAAGAAATTCATTTGTCTCAATCATCTGATGGAATTAGGGTTTTGACCTATTGTGTGATTTGAAGTTTGTCTAAGCCAATTTCTTGGAGCATTATCTTCTTATTATCATTTGAGGCAACTTTGTTCAAAGAATTTCTCAAGAGGTCCGGTGAAATTAGGGTTTTGAAGTTTGATCATTATGCTTCTAACACAAGGTGCAAAATTAGGAATTTAAATTTAATCAGGAGTTCTTCAACTTTTTGATTCAAATTGGATTCAATGTATTTATATATGTTATTGAGCATATTTGAGTGAAAGATTGAGGTTAAATTTTGATTGAAAAGGATTCAATTGATCACAAGGGAAAAAATGGTCATTTTGGTCAAAATTAGTCAAAGTTGACCAAGTGGATTTTTGGTCAACCATCAATTCAAATATCCTCATTTAATATTTCATAATCAATTTCATCATTGAAATCAAGAGAATTGAAGAAATTAGGCTTTACTTGTTCATAAAGTTACTTGAATGTTGAAAAGTTTCTAAGTGCCCATAGTACACAACTTTGGCCAATCACAACTTGAGTTTGGTTAATCTGATTGAGGCAAATGGTACATATTCATAAAGCTCTTTAAAAATACTAAAAGATTGTCAATGTGTGTAGAAAGCTCAAAAGTGAATCATTTGAGAGAAAATCAAGTTGGAAGTTCTGACCACAAGAGATGTCAAGCTGCCTTCTCATTGGCATGCCATGCGCGTAATTTTGACAAACAGTTGGTGTGCAATTTTCATGGATTGATTTCTTTTTATTCAGGCATCAATTTTAAAATCTAATTGGAGCATTTTGTAGTTTTCGATTAGAGCTTTTAATTGAGCTTTGATTCATTCATCTTGGCCAAGGATTGAGAGATATATGATCTTGAGAAGTTGCTCACTCACAACTGCATAACACACTTGCCATGCACGCCCATGCATGCCTGCAGTCTGCCTTGCCAGACTCGTTTTTTTATCAACTTTGTGATGTCATATATTCACCATCCCAACTCCATTTTAATTAATTCAAAGTCCTACACTGAAGCTCATCATGAGAACTTTCAAAAGGCCCCAAGAACTTACAAAATGCACGAGCCATTTATGAGAAAATTGAGTTGTGGCTAGACTAGTTGGGCATGTATGCAAGTGAGGTTATTTTTAGAATCTGGTGCATATTTGGGATGTGTTGCTACACAAGTTTAGTGTACATCCTAAATCACGATCATTCTTTCATTTCCTTTACTTCTTATGACCAAACAATGCATACATCTCATGCACACTCACATTTCTCTCTTTTTTTTGCTAAATTTGGAAATTATTCTATTTCAAATATCTTCACCCATGTGCTGATAAATACCAGCTCATACCACATGCGTACATCACTCTCATTCTCTCTCTCTCTGAATGCTCACTAAAATGACATAAGCCAATACTTGAAGTCAAGCAAAACGCACACTCCATAATTCTACTCAAATTTTCTGATATTTTTTTTTGGATTTTTGTTCTAACGGTTTTGTGAGCACCAAAAGTCCATCATACCCTTGTTCTCACTCCCTATATAAGTTCATTCTTCATTCTGATTCAGGGGATATGCTTAATTTGCTCAAAAATCTAGATATGTGTTCTCTCTCTTTCTCTCTCTATCTATCTCTCTCTCTCTCTCTCTCTCTCTCTCTCAAGAAAAGTGAGTTTCGAATTCATCATTTCGCTGATTCTAGAGCTTGTTTCTTCTTCAATTCTATTTCAGTGAAGTCTTAGAGTGAAGATTCTCAGGGTTTCATGTAACACCCCACTTTCCCATAATAGTAATTACGTTAACATATATCAGAGTACATAAGTAGGATGTCACATACTTCAAATATTCATAAAGTTTAAAGTCACTTTATTACTTTCTTATTTCAAACATACTCAATTCGGCAGCGAAGTAATAAAATTAGTTCAATTCCATGTTATTACAACTTCAACAACAAATAAAACTCCACAAATGTATGGTCCAACATAAGTAAAATAGAAGATAAATAATAAATGAAATAAAGTAAAACATAACAAAGATTCTCAATTCTCATGTTACGTATCAGAGTGACTCCTAGGACTCGATCAACTAACACTCACTCCAAGCACTACTCAGGTACCTGATTATCTGTACTCCCAGGGGAGCACAGACACAACAATACAAAAAAGCTGAGAATTTCATTCAATAAATATACAGTGAGTATCACATGCTAAGGAGTAGTAATCACACATCACTTTGCAACATAACACATCATTCACGTAATACAACATCAACTCAAAATAATGCAATGCAATGAGACCGACATCAACTCAATGCATGTGGTATCATCAGGGCGTAAGCCCTCATCATAATTGCCAATTTAGGCAATAGAAGGGCATAAGCCCTTATCAAAAAACCATTTACAGGCCAACAACAGGGCATAAGCCCTCATCACTATGCCATTTACAGGCCAACAACAGGGCATAAGCCCTCATCGCTATGCAACATGCGACATCATATGCAACAACATAATTATGCAACCACAAGGCATGAGCCTTCAACATTCGTCAATACAGACCATCATAATCATCATCATCATCATACAATATAAATTCCATATAAAATCCCATGTTTTAAACTTAACTTATTATTATTACTAGCCTTCTTATGTCCACCTAAGCCTTACTAGTCATTATGGATTGAGAAAATACACCCCACACGCGAAAACAGGGAGAAAATGCAAAAACGGGAATTTTTGCACCTTCGCCTACCCATACGCGTATGTTGTCTGCGTTACGCGTATTTCCTTGTTGCCTGCCCTGCCTTACGTGTAATGTTGTCTGCATTACGAGTAATGCTTTCTGTTCTACCTGCATTACGCGTATTGCCTTGCCGCCTGCCCTGCCTTACGCGTAATGCTGCCTACATTATGTGTAATGCCTTTTGTCATACCCTGCCTTACGCATAATGCTCCTATCTTACATGTAATGTTGTCTGTATTACATGTAATGTTACCTTCCTTACGCATAACGGCAGTCTGTGACCAAAAGAACTATG